GACATTGCGCTCAGCGGTAGAGTACAGGAGCTGTACGTTCGGGAGTCGGAGTCGAGTCAGGAGCCGGTGTTTGGTATCAATCATTTGTTACGTGAGATCGGACTCGTGTTTACGGCCGGACACTGGCCTCGGGTTCACGATTTGATGAAAGCAAACATTTAAACCATTGGTTTGTCGATCGCGTGCTTCCAATCCTATGCTTCTAATGATTGGTTGATTTGAATGTTTAATTAAATATCTAAGTACTAAGTGTGTTTGTGTTTGTTTTTATTCAACGATTTACCAAGACTTCGAAACAAGTGCTAGCATTCAAGTTTTTAAATTTAATATTACGATTTATTTATATAATAATTTTCAATTTTGTTGTAATTGATTTTAAATATTATCTTGTTTAGTTATAAAATATTGTTTGGTTATTTATTTATAAATTATAATTAATATATGGTTTATAACAAGATTATTATATTTTGTATTAAAATTTTTATTAATAAATTAATATTTAATAGTTATATAATAATAATTATTATTATTAATGGTGTGAGTTTGTATTGAACATGACAGAATACAAATTAAAAATTACAATAATTTATGTAATCATGTCATAATAATCATCAAATATATAATTTGTTAACTTTGATCAAGTAAAAATTATAACAATGTATAATAACTTGGTCACGAATTATTAGTTTACATTTGAAGTAAATATAATGAAATGGTCTAAAATTAAAAATTTATAAATTAGCAATTCTTGATGTTAACCAACACTTGTTTAGGCGTTAATAATATACTTCCCGTGAAATAATCCATCTGTAAATAAACAAGAAGTGAAAAATATAAATATAAATCACGTGATATTTTAAACACTCACCTCAAATCCCGGAGCGAGTGTGAACTCAAACTTGTGTACAATCTTTGCGATACACATTCGCATCTCATTTAAGGCAAACCTCATACCAACGCATAGTCGAGGGCCGCCACCAAAGGGCAGGTATGCGTACGGATGGTGTGTGGGCTTAAGAAACCTTTCGGGTTTAAACTGATCAGGGTCGGCGAATAATTCCGGGTCTCTATGTATAACATACGGCTGAAACTCTACATTAGTTCCCGCGGGAATTGTAATACCTGTTATAAAAATTGTTGTATAAATATAACATTGTTATGTTAAATACAATTATGTTTATACCGGTATTTCCCAGTTTATAATCGCAAATGCATTCCCGTTGAATACTAGCCAAAGGGGGCGCTAGTCTTAGGCTCTCATCGATGACTGCATTTAAATACTGGCATTGGTTTAGGTTTTCATACGTGAAGTCTGTGTCCAAAGCGTTGAGTTCTTCCCTCAGAATCTGTTGTTTGTCTTTGTTTTGAGACAAATAATAGACGACATGAGAGAGCGAAGCGCTGGTCGTGTCGTAACCGGCGATGAAAAAC